ACAAAAGATACTGCAAAAAGCAAATTTGATGCACAAATGGCAAGAAGAAGTGATGCAAGGGAAAATCTCGTGGAGGTGGACCTACAAGCTTATACCTAAACTTCAGCCATGGGTAGATAGAAGCAATGCAGAAGTAGATTACTACCTCAGTCAAGCACTATCGGGACAAATATAAATAAATAAATAAATAAATGCCTTTATTGTCAAAATTTTTTTCAATTTGTTGACAAAGGTAAATAAACAAGATACACAAACAAACAAACAAAAGATAATACAAAATATTATACAAATAATATTGTCAGTTTTATTGTTTAAAATAAACATTTATAAATGTTTACAATGTCAAAGAACAAAAAAATAAAAACAATGGATGCTTTCGAAGATATCTCTATGAAAAAACTCTCTCTAAAACAGACGAATGTTTATATGGTACTGAAGTTGATGATAGAACACATCCTTTATAATTGTTCTAAATAGGAGGAATATAGACTCGCTTATGAATGTAAAAAGTAAAGATTTCAGATTAGCGTCTCCTTTTTGCTGCCAGGGCTAATCTGGAAGGGGCCTATTTTGTTTAAAGCGGAATCAGACCGCGGTCTCGAGCCATATCATGGTCAATGGCCTACCGACTTGGCAAGTGTCAAAATCGACTCTTACTCTAAAATGTCGATCTCATCCGGCCTCGAACATGCGTGAATGAGCAGTGTGTGTCAATAGATTTACACTTTTTGCCTTTATTGGACAACAACTTTGATACAGAGTTTTTTAGTCGGTAGATCCGACACTGGCACCATAACACCAACAAATAACTATGGGTGTCTCATGCAAGATCTTAAAGATCTTAATAAGATTTATTAAATTAAGATCTATCCTTTAAGATCTTAATTTAATAAATCTTATTGGCTATAATGTTCTTTCCAGCGATTTCTGATTTGTTCTTCCTCTTTTAAAAGTTCGCCAATTTGTGCCATGATTGGGCAGCTTACCTTCTTGGTTGGGCAAGCGTGGTACACTTGTGGTACGTATACTTCTTTTACAGCCCCGAAGAATTTACAATAATCGTGATGCGTGGCGTACTCATGATTCTGATTCGTTTTTTTGTGACCACCAGTTATCCTTTACTTGGCGAAGTTCTCTTCGAAGGGTGTTGTTGGCTGCTTTAAAGTTATCTACCAGTCTTGGATTATGTGGATTTGCAGTGACTGTTTGATGTGCTCTATGCTTTTGTTCCAACAAAGCCTGTATATGCGGTTGATTTCGTTAAACCAGTCTGGTTGTTTCTTTTTGTTCGACTTTCCCAGTATTGCTTCGCTGGTTTTATGAATCGCATGCCTTAATTGTGTCCAGCCTTGTTCAGCTTCCAAGATTGAGATTGAAGTTATCGGTAAAAGTAATTCTTTGATGGCTTCCCGGAGGGCGTCGCGACGCCCTCCGGGAAGCGGTATTGTTGTTCTCTAGACCCCGTACGTTCAATCTGGTCATGTTGTTTTGCTTTTTACAGTGTGGATGTTTGGGTTTTAACTGGATTCTCATTTTTGAAATTAAAAGTCGGTGGTCAGTGCCGCATTCGGCATCTATTCTGGCTTTTGTGAGCCTAACATCTTTTAGATGCGTCCTTCGAACGATTACGTGGTCCAGTTGATGCCAGTGGCCTGATCTAGGATGTTTCCAGGTACTTTTAAACTTGTCCTTCAACATGAACCACGTATTGGTGATGCAAAGATTATACTCTGCGCATGTTGTTAATAAGCGTTCACCATTGCTATTTACGTTTCCTATTCCATGTTTTCCCAATACGTCTAGGCCATATTTTCTGTTGTTTGCCAACACGGGCATTAAAGTCACCTAGCAAGATGATTCGTTCGTGCTTTGGAATTCGTTGGAGGGCATTTTGTAAAGCTTGATAAAATTTATCCTTATCCTCAATTTTAGCGTCTAGGGTGGGAGCGTAGGCACTAATGATGTTGACGTAAGTTTTGTCTGATATGGGGCACCTTAGGGTCAGAAGACGTTCGGAGACACCAATAGGTACTTCTGTTAATTTGGTGGCGATTTCGATTTGATCGTAATGCCTGCGCAATGAATCGCAAAATCTCCTGTGTATTGCGGGGTGGCTTTTCCAAAAGAAGGTGTAATGCTCCTCAGTGATACTACCTTCATCCGTAAAGCGGGTTTCGCTTAGAGCGGCAACATCCATATTTAGTCGGTGGAGTTCCTGTGAGACCAGTGCTGTTCTTCTCTCTGGTCGATTTGAATTTATCTTGTCCAGTAGAGTGCGGACGTTCCACGCCGCAAACGTGAAATATTGATGTTTTTTGTTTCTCCGATGGTGCGCTCGAGTAGGCACTCCCTCCCGGAGATCCGATTGTGTGAGCTGCGTGAAAAGGTTTAACTGTGGCGGTTACGCTGCCGTACAGTTTCGGCTGCAACTGTAGCACGGGATGGCTATGTGAAGACCGCGACGATAGTTCCCTTGTGCTGCGTTCTCGGCCAGCTAGGTGTAGTTTACTACTCCTTTTACCCATAAGATGGTAGGTCTGAGGGTTGTATAAGGTTATACCGCCTATACTCGGACGTCAGAGCCTCGTTTGTGTAAACAGGCTGCACCACGTGAAGGTGAGGTTAATTTTTGGGTAAGCTAGGCTATATGTATCGTTTCAATACCTCTTGCACCCTCTGTAAAACTGTCTCAAATACAGTATTTTGTCACAGCTCTGAGACTGTTTCTCAAGGATCGGTCCTTGGCCCAACCTTGTGGAACATTCTTATGATAGTTTGCTAGAGACCCGCATGTCAGGTGGAATTACACTCATTGGTTTTGCAGACGACATCGCCATGGTTGTAACGGCTAGTAGTGATGAATCCTTGATAAATTTGGCCGACATGCCACCGGACTAATACGAGTAACAAAGCGGATGAGGAGGCAAAACCTTCAACTTGCACGTCATAAAATTGAAGCAGTTCTACTAACGACTAAGAGAAAAAAAGCTAGACTATACTTTAATGTAGAGCAAATAATAGTTAATCCAGGTAGTGCCATTAAAAATCTTGGTGTATGGCTGGACTCAAAACTGACGTTCGGAATACATATTGACAAAACTGTTGTTAAAGCGCAGAAGACGATATCGTCTCATGCCGAATATCAGGGATCCCAAACCCTCCAAAAGGCGTATTCTGGCAAGTGTGGTACATTCGCTATTACTGTATGCAGCACCGGCATGGCATACTATAACGCAGAATAAAAAACAACTGCTAAAACTTATGCAGTTGTTTTTTATTCAGAGACTGCAGAGAACAATTTGCATCAGAGTTTGCTGTGCATACAGAACAATATCTGGTGAAGATGCTTGCGTTGTAGCTAGAGTTCCTCCAATAGAGCTTCTAATAAAAGAAAGACATGCAACTTACTGTGGGTTGCCAAGGCAAGAAGCCCGAAGTAAAATGATTACTGAGTGGCAACATAAATGGAAAAATGGCAAACATGGTAGATGGACACCTAAACTTATCCCGAACATTGAAAAGTGGATTACTAGAGGCTACGGAGAAGCGTTGTCGGGTCATGGGTGCTTTGGTAAATATATATTTGTTCAAAAAAAAGACCACACCTCAGTGTATATATTGTCATGATGAAGATGACGCAGAACATACTTTATTTGAATGCCTTAGATGGGATCAAACTAGAAGTCAATATTTGGAAGATACAAAAAAAGCTTTCAACATAGGAAATGTAGCAAATAGCTTAGTTGACGGGGAAAATGCCTGGGACAAAGATACAATGATTATAAGACATATTATTGAAAATAAAGGGGAGTCCCAGATGATGCAAAGTCTGATAGAAGAAGATTAAGGACAACGGACGCATTGAAAAATTGCGAAAGCATTTTCCAATGCGGTTCTGTGGCAGGGCAAAGGTGGATTTTTTAGCCGATAGGAATCCGGCACTACCCTTTGGGGGTGTCTCATGCAAGACTTTTTTCCCTCCTCCTCAACAAAAAAAAAACTTTCCGCCTCCCATTAAATCCACCATCTATTACCTATGTAAATGTTATGATGATGTAAGTGGTTTTTGAGATACAACCTCTTTTTTGTTTCTCTAAATATGGTAATATTTTACTTTTATATTCTCTACTAAAAAAGAAAATATATTTTATTCTTATGTATATAGTATTTTATCTTGTCATGTGTATATGTATATTTTCTTTTAAATATTTGTCAGTCCCCTTCATATTTTGCATGAAAAATTCGAATTTTATACACGTCACCTATCAAGTTGATAATATAATTTCCGTTTTTGTAAAGCATCTCGTTAGATTGTAGGTGAGATGCTGTATATTTCGAAAACACTTTAAATATTTGATGGCCATTTTACAACAGCATTTTACATCGTGCTTATACTGCTCATTTTTTAACCTTAACTGACACTTGTTTTAAAAAGGCGTTAGTTGAAAGATGATTAAATTGAGTAGTTTTTACAAATATTTATCAGAGTCTATGTAGGATGGATTACTTGGATAACAAAAAAAAACATGTTGGGAAGTATAGTAAGTATTTATTACACATAATATGAACTTGTTTGAAAAAAATGTTTAACTCAAAGAGATGAACAAACAAATTACTTTATCAAATAATTTACCTTAGATTCGAAGAAAATGAAAAGAAGAAAAGGAAGTCTTCAAGTAAAGAAGAAACAAT